ACCAACTAGGAGTGGAAATTGAAAAGGCTCGCTGATGATGTCAGAAGCGAGCACCAAGTGGTGTACCGGACACTGTCCGTGTTCGCAGCATCGAAACGACACACACTGTCAGGCCTTGTTTTTTTTCCTGTGTACCATGGTAGTGATCTACTGCACCAGTCGTCCAAGGCCACACACTGACTTAAATGGCTGAGTTACCAACGGACATCACCTTCAAACATTGTCCACCGGTCTATGCCCTGTGAGCAGATTCGAAACAGTGGTAAACACCCTCATCTGTTACCACTGCTTGTTGCCAGATCCGCTGCCATCATTTCACCGCTTATGACGTCATCCTGCTTCTCCTGTGATATGGTAACGATTTTGTCCATTGAACATAGTTTGATCGTGTAAACACACCTTAAAGAGTATGATTAAAGAAAAAGCTATATCTCTGGTATTATCAAAACAAGTGTACTAGTTAAGGACAAAATTTAAGTAAAAGAATTTTAGCCTGTCACTATTCAGAATTTGGGTGAATTTTTGTACTGAAGTGTTGAATACTGATGATCAGAATATCTGTCCTCTTTCTAAAGGGTAATATTTGAAGTGTACCTGTATGGTATTCCAATTTTGTCTCCCCTTATGTATCAAAAACTACCTGCTGGCTGGCTATTTCGATCTTCCTTTTCAACCAATTACTAATCATCAATTCTCCTACTTCCACACACTACTGGTGCTGGAACGTAAAGTACATCAGTGAAGAATATTTTACTTTTTCCCCCTAGTGTTATTCATCACATTTATTTGCACAAAAAAACAAAAAAACAAATTTAGTGTGTGGAGTAGATTGCTGGTATATTTCATCCAGCCAAACCTAGATCTTCCCACACTCCCCTCCACACATCATATTATAATGTATCACAGAGTTACCTCCTGCTATATTGTCTTTTTATTTTTCATGCATTTTATTGTTTTATATGATAATAATTTTATATGCTTATAATAATCAATCACCATTTCTAATTGTACAGAGGGGGTAACTGTGATGACTTTAAGTTTGCATTGTACTGATACTGTGCCTGCAACTAAATTTACCTTCATGAAATGAAAAGTCTTGCCATTTTCGCTGGGACAAGCAAGCTGTAAGAAATGTAGTTCTTTGGGGTTGATAACTTAGTTTTGACAACGACAACAATCATTTAAGAAGACAAGAAGCAAGTTCATTATTTGCTCCAATTTTTTAATAAGTGGATATGAAAACATAGAGCAAAATATCATATCTTTAATATACTTTCTGGTCCATCACCTATACAAAAGGAATGTAACAAAATACACAATAAAAAATCAACAGCAGATTCTCTAAAAATATCTAAATACAAACAGAAAACTTGAAATCAATAGTCACATCCTCACAAATAAAATCCACTTTTACTAAGGTACTTCACAAAAGCAGATCCCCTCACTAAACCAAATTGAATAGCGGAAGACATCTGGTGGCGCATAACTTTTAATGGTTCTTCCTTTCAATGTGTACATCTCACTACAGGACAGAAGGTTTTTACAATATTTCTGATGGTTTTCTGAGACCTTCTGTAGCACAGGAGGATGAATACAAAAGTTTAGTTTGTGTCTGTCTATATTCTTTGATATATATATATATATATATTATATACATAAAATACATTTATCATTCACAGTATCCCAATAATCAAAGTCTGGATGCCAATTACTTTGGAAGGACTTTATCACAGTTTCAATTGCAGACAATAAAAATCCTATTACCTCTCAAACCCCATGCTACATTTCTCTTGCCTGCAATTCTGTCATTTATTAAAATGGAATACAAAAATAGAAAAGTTTTCCCCGTGTATTTGCCATAAAATAAATGTATGTTAACCATGCAAAGTAAAGACTTCGTATAACAATTTTACATTCCTTTTTAGTATAGCAACTCTACATGACTGTAGCCAATTCGCTGCTACCCTTGCCCAAATGGTGATGAATATGACCACTGGATTCTGGCATTTCCACAAAAATTTCCAGACTTTTATCAATGGCTGTTATCTCTGCTCTTAATTTTACCTCAATACACACTTCTTTATATAGTCAACATAAAGTCCATAAAGTTGAAAAAAAAAAAAATTAAATTAGAAAAAGTGTTTTAACAGTTATCAAAGTACAACACATGCAACATTTATAAATGCAAAGAATGTTAAATAAAGGCAGGAAGGAAGGTTGTCTCTCACACTCAACATTTTTCTCAACTCACTCTTGCTCATGTTATGCTTTCTTTAGCATTCCATCACTCAATCCTTTTCATTTTAACCTACAGAGATCGCATGTCTACAGTGTCACTATATCACATTGCACTGCCCTGAAATACAAGAGTGGGAAGGGAGAGGGAAAAGGAAAGGGGGTGAGAGAGGGAGAGGGAGACAGAGACAGAGACAATGGGCAGCTGGGGATTTGGCAGGCTTATTAATATCTATAAAAAAGCATATTAACTTTATTATCCATTCACACTAGCATAGATACCCTATCCTTGTCTTCAATCAAAAATTTGGACATAACAAGCAATGAGCAAAATCCAAAACTACAAAGACAACTTTTTAACAACATTCATATTGAATAATAAATAGACACTTGAAGGAACTAAATCTTAACCATGTATCATAATTAATCATAGAGAGACTATATTCAAGAACGGCAAGTACATTTAAACTCTACTCTTGGTAAAGCTTTATTTTATCAGGATGTTCATGTACAAAAATAATCTTCTTGCACCAGGATCTTATGTACAATATTAATGTTACAGCTTTCTTTGCACTGGTAGTCAACCTCAGAATGAATATACACAACTTGAGAACCATCGTAAATGTCCGTTTCCTGAAATAAATTGCCATTGTCCATTTTCTCTCAAACGTCAGCATTACTGTTAAAAGGATTTGGTCTTCAGCTGTTAATTTAAATAATCTTTGAAACACCCTTACTGTAAATTCTTTAGAAATCACATCCATACATTTCCATAAGTTGCTTCTTATTTTTCCTCAAATACACTTGAACCACACTGTTTATTCTTTTGCAAATTCACTTTTAACCTGAGCCTTGAAATCTATAGAATAAACACACTATCTCACTCTCTTTTAAACATCTTATGTTGGAAACAGTATTATCTAACTGTTTTCACTGAAATAAGTTACTTTTACATTAACAAAGTGGTTACCTTTATTTTACTAGCTATTTTATGTGATCATGTTTAAAACTTGCAACTGAATATTGGAATATTTCCTAAACAGCTGTGATCTACAGTGCTATACTTGCAAGATAAGTACACAGACTATCACAAAAGCACTTCCTTTTCTGTGTTGCTTGGCACTTTGCTTTGACATTAATTTCCTATTATGCTACTGTCATATCAATACCCCCATCACCACATTATTTTATGCATCTCTATTTCTTGTATTCCCATTATACAAAACCACAACATTTTCTTACTTAAACACCCTCATAAATCCCCACTCCAACAGGTATGCACCAAGACAGGACACCAACATTTTTGTGCTCGTATATCTGAACTGAATGAGGACTTTGTAGACACCTTGTTTCATCTTGGTACTTCCAAAGGAAATGAAAAAAATGAGAGATGAGCACAGAATAAACAAGAACAATGGAACTTATACACCTAAAACTCAGTCTACTTCACACAAATAAATATAAAATATTTTTCAAACAGTTTCATCATACAAGTGCTCCCTGATTTTTCAAACTATGCAAACTGACACAAAACTGAACTCTTTTACACTCAATTTTCTCCTGAAAAGAAAACTATACCACTATGATCCAGGCTCTTTTATCAGAATTCGAGCGGTCACTCCAGTGTTAGAAGATTCCTTTTACAATGAGATTCTAATGTATCTTGGGGGAAAAAAATAATGGATGTGGTAAAAAAATGCTTTAGAAGCCTTACGGTAAATGTACAGAGGATATTCAATGCCAAGGTGCACTGCCTAAATGAACTGCATTACAATCAATATGAGCACCCAAGTCTAAAAAAGGATAAAATTATGGTCTGATGAGTCAGTTTTGACAAACTATTTAATGCCCAATTATGTATGGCTTTCTGAATCCTAAACTTGGGTCTTCTCTCTCGAGATTATTTCCATCTGAATCAATTTCATAATGACTAAAGAAATCAAAAAGGGAGCAACTTACAAATGTACTGAAAATTCAAACAAATGAGTGACCATGATATTTGATTATTATGTACTGTACAAGGTAAATGTTATCATGAGAATAGCTTTGCGACCACAAACATTCCCAGTCTTCTTAAGTAAATGTTTAAACGGCCTTACTCCAAAAGACTGTACCACAAACAATTAATTATATATCGATTAACAATCTAAAAGTGCTACATAGTGGTGTAGTCTAACTGAATATATAACTGTGTTACACCTACTGCATTAAAGATTGCCCTTGACTGCTGGAGTACATATCTTGGGTCGGCAGCAGCAGACACTTCGAGTTTAATATTTCCAACGTACTGTCCAGTGCATAACGTCCAGAAGTGTGGCTCTTGCACACTGAACACACCTGGCAGAGCACTGATCTTGTAGAAGCAGCCTGACAACATTCCGTCTAATTCACGCGGCGATCTCTGCATTAGAATCTCTATTGAGTTCCGTAACAGTCCTAACACACTCATGAAGATAAGAACGGCAATGAACATGGAACAGATGGGGTCAGCAATCATCCAGCCAAACATGTGCATGAGAATGGTGGAAACAATGACCCCAACAGAACCCAGAGTGTCTGCCAAGATGTGAAGGTAGACCCCCTGCATGATCTGTGAGCCACCTCCCCCACCTCCATGAGAGTGTCCATGGGATGCATGACCATTGTGCGCATGCCCATGTCCATGCCCATGTCCATGATCATGGCTGTGCCCATGTCCACCCCCTCCATGACTGTGCCCATGGCCGCCACCACCATGACTGTGTCCGTGACCACCATGCTGGAATGCAAAAATTCCAACAAGGTTTACAAGGAGACCAAGGACAGAAACAACAAAGAGGCGCTCGTGCTTGACCTCAGGTGGTTCTATGAGCCGCTCGACCGACTCTGCCAGGATGAAGAAGGAGACAAACAGGAGTAAGAGCCCATTCATAAACCCACCAAGAATTTCTGCTCTTACATATCCATAGGTGAACTTGTCTGTTGCTCTCCATTTGGTGATCACCTTTGCTGCCAGGCCGACTAAGAGTCCTGAGCAGTCAAAGAACATGTGGAAGGCATCTGAAATGAGCCCCAGACTGTTGGTCCAGATACCATAGCCAAGCTCCACGAAGGCAAAGGTTAAGTTCAGCAGGAGGAAAAAGAAGAGATTACGAGCATCTGAGTCTGACAGGATTAGTCTGAACAAGTTGCCAACGAGATCCTTCACTTTAGTTCTGCTTACTGGTGCATGGAGCTTGGTCTCCTCCACATCAATTGTTATGGGCAACATTGTTGCTGGTGTTGCTTTTAGGTCCGATATTCAATTATATATATTTTTTCCTGTGTCCAACTGGCTCAAAATCACAGCAGCTTAAGGATTCATTTTGGATTTTTCACATAAAAAAGGGAGAAAAATCAGAACTGTATCTTCCACCAAAATATTTTACTTGGATGGCTGCAGTCCAGCAGAACCAGTGATATTCCAAACCACACACAGAGGTCGGTCAAGGGTTTGCTGTTGGTGACCAAGATGCAGAGCACCTGTGGAAATGCCCACAAAAGTCTCTTTTACTGCATCTTCTGTCAGCACAGCAATGTAGAACTCATTCTCTTCATGGCTGACCCAAAACTTTCACCACCAGAATCTGGAAATAAAAACTGGAATTACTTTAGGTAATTGTACTAAATTTTGCTTTCACTGCTTAAGAAATAGTACCAAAGGCCTCTTCATAAGAGAAACAGTGGACAATCTCTGCATCTGCATAGACAGCTCATAGACTCTGTTCCTTTCTTTTATTAAGATGTGGTATAAAAACAAAAAGTTGCTAGTTATTTTGAAGCCTCTTATCATTTCCTTTCAGTGCACGGTTTCAATAGTAAAACGGCCCGACAGCAGATCACAATCAGGCTTACTAATAAAATCATCACTATTCTAAGAAATTATAGCATAAGAAAAGAGGCATAACACATGGATTCCTTAATATTCTCAGTATATTCAAATATAGGACATACTTTATGCTCTAAAAAGCAGTAGTCATATTGAAGCCAAGTCATTCTCATCTTACCCAGATTTGAAAGAAGCCCCAAGGGATTTTAACTTTTGAAACACTCACAGGAAGCATTCGAAAGGGGAACAACAGAACCAATGGCATTTTCAGAGACTAGACAGCTAAGCATATGGAGCAACTTGTCAGATTTACCAACTGATCCAAAAAGTCACCGCTCTGGCATTGCTCTTAATGTTGTGGCTCTATCTTTATTTTGTTTCTGTACTGAAGTTACTTTGTATGTGTGCAATACTACCTTACTTATCTCTCCACATAATTGCAAACTCAACTAGTGTGAAAACCTATATACAGAGGCAAAGAGCTTATGATTCAACTTTCTTGAAACTATCTGTGTGGGAATAATAAAAGAAAAGGTAAAGCACTGAAAGATCATATATTAATGGCCATAAATACTGTACCAAAGACTTAAGCTAGCATTGGTGTCTAATTCATGTTCCCTCTTTTTTTGCATCCAAGGTCTCAACATTTGCCAAATTTTAAATGTGTCCCTACATTTTAGGGCAGTGATAAAAGGGAAATCATTCACAAAGTCTACAATATTCATTCCCAAAGAAATGAAAGAAATGCATATAATTTTAGGTTTCAACTGTTATTTTGTATGATTTAGGAGGCTATTTTCAGATCTGCTTCCACACTTTATACCATTCCAGTTTAACCTGATGCTGACGGGTCATACCTATCTATGCCATAACAAATCGCTCAGTCTGCAGGATACAACTGTACACCGCTGCAACGCGCCAGAGCGCTTGGAGCGGGACATTTGGCTTGATGTAGTAGACTCCTGCGCCCAGTGCCTGCTCGTTGCCACTAATCTCCAAAGTTTAATTTTTTTTTTCACCCGTCATCATTGGGTTAAAAAAAGGTTTCATAGAAATGCTGTACTTTCTGACAGTACTGAAAACTGTTAAATGCTGAATACATAGCACTCTTGGGCAAACTGGAGAAAAGAAAGGTGTCAGTCCTTGCACTGTAGAATATAAAAAGGTCTATTCTTTTAAAAGGCCACTCACTTCAAAAACCAAGACTTTTTTCTTTTCTTTTTTTTAACTACTTTGGGTTTTACAAGACCAGGAATATTTTCCCCTTTCTATACAACCAATGTCCGGATTGTTTGATAAAACAAGGAGTTAAGATATTCAGTAAATTTTTAGTAACAGTCCAACATGTTTGACACTACCCTATATGCCAATCGTCACAGCCTACTGGCACTCTAACAACAGCACATGAATTTCCAACA